GCCATATATGTGATTGTATATTCATGGGCAGTGGCCACTGGCTTGGTTGGACTTGGAAGGAACATGATTGGAAAATTGAAGACAAAGAGGTATGGGGAAGAGATATGTGGATAGACCTTTCTGAATGGGCTAAAGAAGTGAAGATATTTGTATTTCATGTGAATGCTCACCGAAGGGTGATCTTGGAAGAGGAAGATTTTAACCATCAAATGGATAGTGTGATGCGTTCTGTGGAAACCGTCATCCTCTTTCCCCAGCCACTCCTGTCATTGCCCAATGGGATCAGGAACAAAGTGGCCATGGTGGCAGGGATGGAGATTATGCATGGGCTCAGCAACATGGACTTCCACTCACCAAGGCCGACTTGACTACAGCCACTGTTGAGTGCCCAGTCTGCTAGCAGCAGGGACCAACACAGAGTCTCCAATATGGCACCATTCCTAGAGGTGATTAGCAAGCAACCCGGTGGCAGGTTGATTACATTGGACCACTTCCATCATGGAAAGGGCAACGTTTTGTTCTTACTGGAATAGATACTCTGGATACAGATTTATCTTCCCTGCATGCAGTGCTTCTGCCAAAACTACCATCCGTGGACTTACAGAATGCCTTACCCATCATCATGGTATCCCACACAGCATTGCCTGGGGTCAAGAGACTCACTTCACAGCAAATGAAATGTGGCAAAGGGCCCATGGTCATGAAATTCACTGGTCTTACCATGTTCCCCATCATCCTGAAGCAGCTGGCTTGATAGAATGATGGATTGGCCTTCTAAAGACACAATTACAGTGCCAGCTAGGTGGCAATACCTTGCAGGGTTTGGGCAGTGTTCTCCAGGAGGCTATATATGCTTGAAATTAGTGTCTAGTATATTGTGCTGTTCTTCCCATAGCCAGGATTTATATGTCCAGGAATCAGAGGTCTAAATGGAAGTGGCACTAGTCATTATTACCCCTAGTGACCCACTTGCAAAATTTTTGTTCCTGTCCCCAGTACTCTATGCTTTGCAGTCCAGAGTTCTTATTTCCAAAGGGAGGAATGCTCCCACAAGGAAACACAACATTGATTCCATTGAACTGGAAATTAAGAATGCCACCTGGCCACTTTGGGCTCCTTATGCCTCTGAATCAACACGTAAAGAAGGGAGTTACCATATTGGCTGGTGTGATTGATCCTGGTTACCAAGAGGAAATCGGATTGATATTATATAATGGAGGTAAAGAAGAGTATGTCTGGAATACAGGAGATCCCTTAGGACATCTCTTAGTACTACCCTGCCCTATGATTAAAGTCAATGGAAAACTACAGCAACACAATTGCAGTGTGACTACTAATGGCGCAGACCTTTCAGGAGTGGAGGTTTGGGTCACCCCACCAGCCAAAGAACCACGACTAGATGAGATACTTGCTGAGGTTAGAGGGAATACGGAATGGGTGGTGGAAGAAGGTAGTCTAAGTACCAGTACAACCACATGAGCAGTTGTAGAAACAAGGACTGTAATTGTTATGAGTATTTCTTTCTTGTGCATGTGCATCAAATATTTTTGTTCTCTTCACTTATAAAATATAAGATGTAAACAGATCTAGTGCATTTTCGGTTGTTCATGTGTTAGTTGTATCATGTTAGGCACAAGTATGACTTTATAATTGTCTTTATTTAGAGATGTATACAGGTGCCAAGCTGACAAAGGGTGGACTGTGATGGTTAAGGTATGTCAAGTTGGCTGGGCCATGATTGCGGTTTGACAGTTATGATGTAATTTGGCAACTGTGTAATAATAAAATCACCTCCATAATGAGATCTGATATAATCACCTCCATGATGAGATACGTTATGAACAGCCACTCAGTTGGAAGAGAGTTTCCTTGGGTTGTGGACTGCATCCAATATAGGTGAACGTTCTGGTAGCGCTCACTGGCTTTTGCTTGCTCTGGATCCTGCAGCTGGCCGCTGTTATCTGACCTCCAGTTCTTGGGACTTGAGCTAGCAGCTTACCTGCTGATCTTGGGATTCATTGGCCTCCGCAGCCTGTGAGCCAGGGGCCTGCTGTCTGACCTGCTGATCTTGGGTTTGACAGCGCTGCAGCTATGTGAATGAAGAGAAGCATGTAGCCTGACCCTAGGCTTGGGACTTTCCACCTCTACCACCATGTGAGCCATTTCCTTGATATCAGTTGCTTTCTGTCTGTATTTATACACTTCACTGGTTTTGTTCTCTAGACAACCCAGCCTAAGACAGTATCTTCCAAGGAATTTGTTATTTCTGTGCAAGTTGTCATATTTATGAACATAAAGTTGTTCATAATGTTACTTTATTATCCTTTTAATATCTGTAGGAACTGTAGTGATGTCCTCTCCTTCATTCCTGATATTTGTCGTTTTTCTCTTTCTTCTTGACTGGTCTGTCTAGAGGTTTATCAATTTTTATAGACTTTTTAAAGGATCAGCTTTTGGTTTTATTAATTTTTTTCTGATTGTTTTTTGTTTTTAATTGCATTGACTTTTACTCATATAGTTATTTGTTTTCCTTTTTGTGTATTGTAGGTTTGCTTTTTTTCTCTACTATTGTATTGAGTATTATTTTTTAATATTTCATTTTATTTGCACCATTGACTTATCACTAACACTTTTTAAAGAATTTTAGTGTTTGCTGTAGTGTTTACAATATAATCTTTAATCACAGTCTGTCTTTAAATAATAGTATACTGTTTCACGTGTGGTATGAGAACCTTAAAACAGTGTATTCCCATCTATTTATCATCTTTATTTTAAGTTTCTGTTCTGATTGTGCCAGTATCTGGATCATCTGTGAGTCTGTCTCTGTTGATTACTTTGTTGTTTGACAGTGGTTCCCTGCCTTGATTTTTCATTGTAATTTTTGATTGCATGCTGGACATTGTGTATAGGAATAGATTAAAAGATCAGTAAACTTTTCCTGTAATGAGCCAGATAATAATATTTTGAGTGTTGAGGTTACACATATGATCTCTGTTGCATATTCTCCTTCTTCTTCCTTCTTCTTTTTTTAAAAAAATGCTTTAATAATGTCAAAGCCATTTTTAGCTTGTGGCCTGTACAGAAACAGGTCACAGGCCATATTTGACTTCGGGCCTATAGTTGACCAAACCCTGTAGTAAAGAATGAGGCAAGTAGTATTTATTCCTGGAAATGGCCACATCTCTTCTTCTGCTAGGCTGTTAGTGTGGGGGACTGAGCTGGGTTTTTTGTTGTTGTTATTGTTGCTGTGGTTACCCTCAGTGCACCACTGGCTTCAGATTCCTCTAACCCTTTTTTGTGCTAAGGGTGAGGGCTGAACTGACAGAATGTTTTTCTCAGTGTTCCTGCCCCACGCTCAGCTTTTGGCCTTCTCTGTGCACCTGTGCCTCAGAGGGGTGCCCCTCCCCAGCTGTAGACTGAGTGTTTGCTAGACAAGTGGTGGAGGATGGAGGGGAGTTCTCTGCTGTTTTGGTTCAGCCTCAGTCTCAGGCAGGCCCTGTCCACTTGGCGTCTGGGTGGTGATGCTTTCCCAGTACTCCTGCCCCACTGCCCTGGGACAGCTGCACTCTGCCTGGTATCTTTGGCAGGTCTGTGCCTCTCTCTCACAGTAGGAGACTGCTAGTGGTCTGGGGCAGGCTTGCCCTGCCTCTCCCTGAGGGTACAGAAAGTGGTTCTATCCTTCCCCCAGCCACAAGGAGTTTTTCAGCTATGCCCTGGGGGTAACAGGGCTTGCTGCCCTTTTCCAGCAGCTTCGGGCCCTTGTTTTGTAGGGAAGAAGAGCCAGGGTGAGGTATGGGGTTGTGGCTGCTCCCCTGAACCATTGAGGGTTTGTTCAGTCCATTCTTTTAACCCACTTACTGTATTTTTGTGCAAATAATGCATGCCTTCTATGTTTGTCTGCCAGCTGCACCCTCCCCCTGCGAGGTATTTTCATAAGTGCCGCAATGCCAGTTTTTTTTAATATGTTGCTGTAAAATAAAATTAACATAGTGCACTTTCAAAAATACCTCACAGGGAGAGGGAGCTGTCGGCACACAAACATAGAAGGTGCGTGTTATTTGTGTAAAACTACAGTACTTCTTAAAAAGCTTTTTGACTAATTGTAGCGCTAAGAAAGAGATACTGGTTTTGAGCCTTGTTTAATTACACTACCCAATCCAGAAGTGAATTAATAGTATATTTAGAGTTCCCACTACGGATAAAAGGTAAGGAGAGTTGGTTTCATCCTGGTTATGAAGTATAGCTTTGGGTCGGGGCTCTTGTTTGTCTGCCTATTTTCTAGTGATTACGACGATATATGTAGGGCTATCAGGTTATATAGGAGCCCTGGTGGAGCAATGATTAAGCACCCATCTGCTCATCAAAAGGTTGACGGTTTGAACCTACCAGCTGCTCTGTGAAAGAAAAGACCAGGTTATCTGCTCCTGTGAAGGTTACAGCCTAGGAAACCCTATGGGGCAGTTCTGTTCTGTCCTATAGGATTGCTATGAGTCAGGATCAGCTTGACAGCATACAACAGCAACCACCAGGTTATATAACTCAAGGGACATTCACATGGAAGATAATGGAATACAGTGTGAATAGTGTGCCCTGCAACACTGTGTGACTCAGTGGCCCATAATGTATGTATATCTGTATGTGGTCTTAGAGGGACTTGCTGCAGTCAGAGAGAAAATGACGCAGTACCTTTTTTAAAGATCTCATAAGTGGACAGAATTATAGCAGACAACATGGAAAGCTCTCATCTCTCATATTCTTAGTTTAGCATTTTCAAATCATATGATTGTGAGTAATAGATGATGAATGGGCCTTCTCATGTTGCTCTTATGACCTAAGCTTTTACATCAAGGAGTGACTCTGTTTCTGGGTCAGCCATAGTTTTTGAAACTTTCAAATAAATGTGTCATTCACAAAGGCCAAAAACCCCTCAAAGGGTAAATTGCCCCCAGATACTATAGGAGGTTTTATTCTAACAGGAGGCTTTACTCATTTTCCCATAGATCCAGATGCAGAAGTGTGTCTCCATGTGTTGCGTCTGGTCCAGTCTGTGGTTCTAGAACCAGAAGTCTTCTCCAAGTCGGCCTCTGAGTTCCGGAGTTCCCTGCCTCTGCAGCGCATCCTGGCAATGTCAAAGAGCCGCAACCCACACCTCCAGAGTGTGGCCCAGGAGCTCCTGGAAGACCTGCGGGCTCTGGAGCATGACACATAGCATGCTTGCTTGTCCACAGAGAGTTTGGTAAAAAATACTAGTGTTCCTTCCCTGTCCCCATGCCCCTCACTTTGCATTTTAAAAACTATCACTGTATGCCATGAGTTACAAATGGCTAAATGTGGTTGACTAGAGATGGACATGAACGAGATATGTATCCGACATAGCTTCCTCTTACAAGTGAAACACTTGTAGATGGTTGGTTAATCTTTCCAAAGGTGAGCCTGAAAAGACTCCATCCTTCCAGAAAGGTACCCATATCTGCTATACCTGGAAGTTCTTAGAGTGGTTTCTTGCTGCTTAGACTTTTTGTGACCTGTAGGTTCACCTGTAAAAATAGGAGATTAAATAACCATCTACCCCACTGGTCAGCGTTTTCCTGAGATACATTTATTTTGAAAAACAATTCATTCTCTCTCTAGTAATTATAATTAATCCCCCCAAATGGAGGTTTATTTTTATAACCTTTTGGTAAACCTGCTATTTCAGATGACATCTTAGTTCTATATTTTTGTGCCTCTTTTATTTTTGAATAAAGAAAATCAGAAGACTCATTGATGTGTTTACAGCTATTGTTTGCAGAAATATTATAAACTTAGGAAGTTGTTCTTCTTTTGTATATTATAATACATACACATGGTTGGTATAAAAACCTCACCTTACATTATTCTGGGCCCTTTGGCTATAAACTTAAGAGGTTTGGGTTTTCTTTTAACAAATACCATGAAAACAGCCTCATAGATTTGAACACATATAATTGGTTGAAGTTCTTTAAATGATGATCATTTCTCCCTTTTGTACATGGGTGTGTATGTATACCAGGGCCCCCCACCAGTGTAGCTGCCTCATCTGCTTGTCACGACATCTAGCTTGTGATCTAGGCCACTGGCAGAAAACAAAGGAGAATGTACTTCGTTTTCTCAGAAACCATGATGTGTGAGAGTGAAAGTTGCCATTTTAGTTAGTCCTTAAAGTCACATCAGGCAACATGTTCCCTACTTTATTCTGGTGCTGCTGCCCTCATGTGACACTGTAGGACCGTAAGAGCGAGGCAGCGCAGGCGTCACCTTCCACAGGCAGTCTAATGTACACTTAGAGGCTGTCTCTGCTTTGTGTGGCATTTTAAAATAACTTCACTTTTCTTTTAAGTAGGTTTTTATGGCCAATGTGCAGTGCGGGGCTGAGGCTGAATGGAGGAGCTGAGAGGAAGGCACAGTTGCTTGAATTTCACAAACCAACATATTGCGGAGCATTAGCTCATGGGCGCCAGGGAAATGTTGTAAAAGGCAATTTAAAATTCATGGAAGCAGAAATTGGTCCATCTGTGCTGTGTGGTTCTGTAGGTCCTGATTATTGGTGAATAAAAGTGAGGATGCTGTTTTTGTACTTATTCTAGCATGGTATCATTTTCTCTTTGGTTGTTACTCGTTTGTTAAGGTAATGGGATAAACCAGTATAATTGGTTTTTGCCTCCTCTAGAACTGCAGGGTTTTTTCCTGCCAAAGATAGGGTCAGTGAGGTATAGAGAGAAAACTGGGCCAAACTCTTGAATGTTGCATGGTTTAGCTAATTAGTTGATGGCTATGGTGCTAAGGATAGCAAGAGTTCTGATTAAAACTCCTTCAGGAAGAAACAGCTGAGAAATACATGCTCTGAATGTACATCACAGGAAAGGTACTTAAGACCAATTTTAAGCAGTAACTAGCTTCTCTAATATTTCTGCTCTTCATATAAAGTTTAAAGAAAAGCATAGATTCTTTAATTTTTCTGCATCTAACAATCTAAAGAAAACCCACTCAGTTAAAAAAAAAAAAGTATATATCAAACAATGCACTTTGCAATGTTGGAAGTCTCTTGTGAATTTTAAAATTGGAGACAAAAGCAGTAAAATAATTCACATAATTTATTTTTATATTTTGTGTCTTTATTGAACTTCTCATTTTGTTCATCGTTTTCTTGATTTTCTTTAGTTCTTTGTATTTTCCTTTAGCTTTTTGAACATTTTTAAGATAATTGTTTTTGTCTAGTAAGTCCCTTGTCTGACTGCCTCAGGGATGATTTCTCTCACTTTATTTTTTCCTTATAATGGTCATCTTTTCCTGTTTCTTTGTATACTTTGTGATTTTTTTGTTAAAAACTGGACATTTGAATATTATTACGTGGTAACTCTGAAAGTGAGATTCTCCCTCTTCCCAGGATTTGCTGTGTGTTTGACTGTTGAAGGCAGTTGTTGTTGTTAGGTGCCGTCGAGTCAGTTCTGACTCGTAGCAACCCTGTGTACAACAGAACGAAACACTGCTCAGTCTTGCGCCATCCTCATGATCGATACGCTTGAGCCCATTGTTGCAGCCACTGTGTCAGTCTGTCTCATTGAGGATCTTCCTCTTTTTTGCTGACCATGCAGTTTACCAAGCATGATGTCCTTCTCCAGATAACATGTCCAAAAATTGTGAGACGAAGTCTCACCATCCTTGCTTCTAAGAAACATTCTGGCCGTACTTCCAGGACAGATTTGTTCTTTCTTTCGGCAGTCCATGGTATATTCAATATTCTTCGCCAACACCACAACTCAAAGGCGTCAGTTCTTCTTCAGTCTTCCTTTTTCATTGTCCAGCTTTCACATACACATGAGGTAATTGAAAACACTACGGCTTGGGTCAGGCGCACCTTAGTCCTCAAAGTGACATCTTTGCTTTTTAAAACTTTAAAGAGATTTTTTGCAGCAGATTTGCCCAATGCAATGTATCATTTGATTTCTTGACTGCTGCTTCCGTGGATGTTGATTATGGATCCAAGTAAAATGAAATCCTTGACCACTTCGATCTTTTCTCCGCTTATCATGATGTTGCTTATTGGTCCAATTGTGAGGATTTTTGTTTTCTTTATGTTGAGATGTAATCCATACTGAAGGCTGTGGTCTTTGATCTTCATCAGTAAGTGCTTCAAGTCCTCTTCACTTTGCAAGTAAGGTTGTGTCATCTGCATAATGCAGGTTGTTAATGAGTCTTCCTCCAATCCTGATGCCCCCTTCTTCTTCATATAGTCCAGCTTCTCGGCTTATTTGCTCAGCATACAGATTGAATAAATATGGTGAAAAGATACAACCCTGACGAACACTTCTCCTGACTTTAAACCACACAGTATCCCGTTGTTCTGTTCGAATGACTACCTATTCATCTATGTACAGGTTCCTCATGAGCACAATTAAGTGTTCTGGAACTCCCATTTTTCGTGATGTTATCCATAATTTGTTATGATCCACAGAGTTGAATGTCTTTGCATGGTTAATAAAGCACAGGTAAACATCTTTCTGGTATTCTCTGCTTTCAGCCAGGATCCATCTGACATCAGCAGTGATATCCCCGGTTCCACATCCTCTTCTGAAACCAGCTGGAATTTCTGGCAGTTGTGTGTCGATGTACTGTTGCAACCACTTTTGAATGATCTTCAACAAAATTTTTCTTGTGTGTGATATTAATGATATTGTTTGATCATTTCTACATTCTGTTGGATCACCTTCCTTTGAAATAGGCATAAATATGGATCTCTTCCAGTGGGCTGGCCAGGTAGCTGTCTTCCAGATTTCTTGGCATAGATGAGTGAGCACCTCCAGCACTGCATCCATTTGTTGAAACATCTCAATTGGGATTCCGTCAATTCCTGAAGCCTTGTTTTCGCCAGTGTCTTCAGTGCAGTTTCCTTCAGTACCATTAGTTCTTGATCATACGCTACGTCCTGAAATGGTTGAACGTTGATCAGTTCTTTTTGGTACAGTGATTCTTTGTATTCCTTCCATCTCCTCTGGATGCTTCCTGCGTCGTTCAGTATTTTGTCCATAGAATCGTACGGTATTGCAACTTGAGGCTTAATTTTTTTGTTCAGTTCTTTCAGCTTGAAAAATGCTGAGTGTGTTCTTCCCTTTTGGTTTTCTAACTCCAGGTCTTTGCACATGCCGTTATAATACTTTGTCTTCTCCAGTTGCCCTTTGAAATCTTCTGTTCAGATCTTTTACTTCATCATTTCTTCCGTTCATTTCAGCTACTGGATGTTCAAGAACAAGTTTCAGAGTCTCTTCTGACATCCATTTTGGTGTTTTCTTTCTTTCCTGTCTTTTTAATGACCTCTTACCTTTTTCATGTATGATGTCCTTCCACAACTCGTCTGACCTTCAGTCAGTATTCAGTGGGTCAAATCTGTTCTTGAGATGGTCTCTAAATTCAGATGGGACTTACTCAAGGTTATACTTTGGCTCTCATGGACTTATTCTAATTTTCTTCAGCTTCAACTTGAACTTGCATACGAGCAGTTGATAATCTGTTCAGCAGTCGGCCCCTGGCCTTGTTCTCACTGATGATATTGAGCTTTTCCATCGTTCCTTTCCACAGATGTAGTCGATTTGATTCCTGTATATTCCATCCAGTGAGGTCCACATGTATAGTCGTTGTTTATATTGGTGAAACAAGGTATTTGCAATGAAGAAGTCATTGGTCTTGCAAAATTCTATCATGCTCTCTCCAGCATCGTTTCTATCACCAAGGCCATATTTTCTAATTACCGATCCTTCTTTTTTTCCAACTTTTGCATTCCAGTCACCAGTAATTATCAGTGCATCCTGATCATGCTTGATCAATTTCAGACAGACTGCAGAAATTGGTAAAGATCTTCAGTTTTTCTCATCTTTGGGCTTAGTGTCTGGTGTGTAAATTTGAATCATAGTCATACTAACTGGTTTTCCTTGTAGGCATATGGATAGTATCCTATCACTGACAGCATTGTACTTCAGGGTAGATCTTGAAATGTTCTTTTTGATGATGAATGCAACGCCATTCCTCTTCAATTTGTCCTTCCTGGCATAGTAGACCATATGATTGTCCGATTCAAAATGGCCAATACCAGTCCATTTCAGCTCACTAATGCCTAGGATATCGATGTCTGTGTGTTCCATTTCATTTTTGACGATTTCCGATTTTCCTAGACTCATACTTCGTACATTCCAAGTTCCAATTATTAATGATTGTTTGCAGCTGTTTATTCTCATTTTGATTTGTGCCACATCAGCAAATGGAGGTCCCGATAGCTTGACTCCATCTATGTCATTAAGGTTGACTCTACTTTGAGGAGGCAGCCCTTCCCCAGTTGTCTTTTGAATGCCTTCCAACCTGAGGGGGTCATCTTCTGGCACTATATCAGACAGTGTCCTGCTGTTATTCATAAGGTTTTCACTGGCTAATATTTTTTTTCAGAAGTAGACCACCAAGTCCTTCTTCGTAGTCTGTCTTAGTCTGGAAGCTCAGCTGAAACCTGTCTGCCATAGGTGACCCTGCTGGTATTTGAATACTGGTGGCATAGCTTCCAGCATCACAGCTACACACAAATTCCCACAGTGCAACAAACTGACAGATGCATGGGGATTGAAGGCAGTAGTAATACATTTGTTTAGTGATCTTTTTCATACTATTGCGGGGTGCGAGGGGAGCAAAGACTGTATTCTTTGTTGTGTGTGGTCACTGAAGTTTCTGTTTCTTTAACTTGTGTTCAGCT